GTGTTGGACGCCACAATCCATTGCTAATGTCTGTGACCTGAAGTAACCCTTCCCGTTTTACACTGAATTTAGACGCCAAATTTATGACGGTGAAATAGAGCAGGTTGAGTCTCAAGAGGCTGAAAATATTGAGTTTGAATTTTGAAAGGTTGAAATTTTTTATATGCAGATTTTTTTTAACACTGAAAAATCTAACTGAAAAATAAGTATTGAAAATGTAATCACTGAAATAGTAATGTGAGTTTTTAGCTTGAAGATAAAATAACAAATGAAATTTCAACTGTGTAGAAATAATGTCAATGAACTTCTTTTTAGGTCAAAAATGTGTATATTCTATATTCCATAGATTATTGTTGTTGTTTGAGTTCAGATTAAAACTGATGGACATCTCAGCTTATTTCACATCCGAAAAGGTTTGCATCCTTCCAGGTGACGATTCCTCCCTCTGCCTCGGATCGTTTTCAGTATTTATAATCGTTATCCTTGCTTTGATTTTTCAGGAACTTCCTGCCAACAGCGTCTTGTTGGTGTATTTATCGGCCACCGGCGTCTTCCCGGCTACACATCTAGATTACGAAGGTAAAACACACCGCTGATTGTTTCTTTTTTTCCACACTGCTTATCAAACCTAAACAGTTAAACAGCTGGGATGGATATAAGAAGTCTCCCATCTGTTAGAATGACAGATTTTTTGTGTTGCACCATAGTTACACATCTCATTATGTGTTATTTAGCTGAAAACAAAGAAATCTGTTTGGGGGGGAAATAAGAAATGATTCTACCGTATAATAAATCCAACATGGCCCCATGAAGACATCCATCTTCTCCCGCTTATTCCGTCAGGGTCCCAGGGTGCCTATCTCCGCCAGTCTATGGGCGAGAGGCGGGATACACGCTTGACAGGTCGCCAGTATGTCGCAGGGCAACACAAAGACACAATTCTGATTTCAACCGTTGCGTATATTAGCTGCGACATATGAATCAAGATGCTATGACCGAAAAAATTTGATTGACAGATGACCGTTGATATATGATTGGCCGAATTTAGGTGTTCAGGCTGACGTAGAACTAACTGGCCTGAATAAGATAACAAGAAAACCCACAGATTTTTAGACAGTATTTTTTTAAATAGAAATTTTCTAACTTTTGGGACAAAATGGTCTGATAAAGATTACATTTATATACATGTTTAAGCCAGAATGATTTGACATTTGAATATGATTTCCCAACGACTTTAAAGTAAAAATGTTGCTAACGTGTTAATTGAACAATTTTCAAAGTTTCATTTTTTTATTTCAGTTTATATAACATGCAACAATAAGGGGACAAAATTCACTCCATAGTTTTGTGGATGATCCAAACCCCACAGTAATGGATGAAGAGAGGAAAGACTGAATCACTGATGTGTAGAAGAAGAACTGCATCTAACCCTTCAACAGTGAGAAAAACACTGGAAAAACGATCTAGAAATAAGTAAAAATATCTTTAATTAAGTGTATTTACCCTTAATTTGAGTAGGTAAATGAGATAGTTTGCCAATGGAATGAGTATTTTTACTCTTAAAATAAGATAATTAGATAAAATGCACTTGAAATAAGACAATGCAACTGTGTTTTCTTATTTTAAATGTAAATTGTCTTGTTCCATTGGCAGAATGTCTCTTTTATCTCCTCAATTCAAGAACAAATGCACTTATTTTAAGAAAAAATGACTTATTTAGATTTAAATTTTTTCCATTGTGGTGGGAAGGAAAGGAGCCGCTGTGCTGAATTCAGCCTTCTAGACGTCGCTACGGAAACACGGTTGATACTTGTCACACTGGGACTGCAGTCTTCTGGGAAAGAACTAGCAAAACAAGCCTGAAAACAAGCAACAGAATGACTTTATGGGAGAAAATCTAAAATCCCGAGTCTGAAAAATAAAACCTAAACACCTTTTTAATGATCTGAGAGATCTGCAGAACCTCAGCTGGTTCTGGTTCTTTAATGATACTTCATCAAAGTGTTTCAGGCTGATCCAAACCGGATCATCCGCAGACTGTTTTCAGGAGGGTTTCTGTCCTTCAGGTCTCACAGACAGACCTCCCAGTCCCGTCCAAACCAGTTGAGTCGTATCCTGGTTCTTTATTCCCAGTAGGTCCGTATGACTTCGGAGGAGTTCTGACCAACACCAACAGGGACGTGGTGAACGGAGAGTCGGCTCAGAAGAGGAATCAGGCCCAGAAAGAGATGCACTGGTGAGTCTGAGCCAGGATGGGGGGAACCGGCGTGAACTGGGCTGAAACGGGTCTCTGACGCTTGTGTTGATGGTTGCAGCCTTCATCCAGGGGATCTGTTTCCGTTCACCCGGAAGCCTCTTTTCATCATCGTGGATTCTTCAAACAGCTCCGCCTATAAGGTCGGTAAACCTGTCGGTACTGGCTGCATCCCGCCGGTTTCCCAGGTTCCTTTAACTCTCTCTGGGTTTTCTCTGAACAGAACTTCACCAACCTGTTCGGCCAGCCGCTGGTGTGCCTGCTGTCTCCTACAGTTTATCCAAAAAGCGTCCAGGGTGGGTTTTCCTCTCCCCTCCGACAGAACGGAGCATCTCTGGGTGTCTGTGGATTCATCTCTGCTTCCACCCGGAGATGCTCCTCCTTCAGGTTCTGCTGTTGACCGTTTCCCTGGTTTGTTTGTTTTGCTGCTTCAGATCCGTCTCAGCGCGGCAGCCTCTTCACCCTCTTCCTCTACAGTCCTCTCCTGGCTTTCTCCTCCATCTGCGGCTTGAACAGCGTCCGACGAGGCCTTTGGGAACGTGCTGAAGAATTCCTTCAAAGAGTGTTCCGGGACATCGGGCAGATGATAACCCGATCACGGAGCATCGGTAGGTCGGTCCGGTTCAGAACCCGAACCTGAACCCTTTGAGAAACAGCAGCTGGTTGCTCGGTAACCGGTCTCTCCTCTTCGCTCTGCAGATCAGGCCTTTTTGCAGTTTTTCGGTGACGAGTTCCTGCGGCTGCTCCTGATCCGGTTCGTGTTCTGTTCAGCTGCGCTGAGACTACACAAGCTGTTCCGGGTGAGTCTGCGCTTCTCTGACTCCTCAGGAAACCGTTTCATTCTGGAGAGACTCCAGTGCACTGCAAAAATTCAAACTCAAACTAAGCCTTTTTACGTGAAATATGTAATTTTTTTTGTTGATTTGAGCAGATTAGATATTCTTATCACAGAGGAAGTTGATTTAAGTTTCAAAAAACATCCGTTCTCCTATTTTGATATTCATCCATCCATTTTCCGTCACGCAAGCGGGGTCGTGAGGGATGGTGCTGCTGCCTACATCCAGCTGTCTACGGGTGAGAGGCGAGGTCCACCCTGGACAGGTCTCCAGTCTAACGCAGGGCAACATAGAGACAAACAGGACAAAAAAAACCTGAGTGAAGTTCGCCCCCCCACCTTCTTCAAATCAGACAAAATTGGTGTCAAACCTTTGTGCAGAAAAAATGTTCGTTTGTGCCGCTATCGTTTTAAAGATATAAAGAAATATTTCTAGAGGTCATCAAGGGTCAACCAGCCCCCCCACCTTCTTCAGATTAGACAAAATGGGTGTCAATTAACTCAGCTCCGTTTGTGCTGCTTTGGCTTTGAAGATATTAATGAAAATGTAAAGGTCAAAAGGTCAACCAGACCCTCACCTTCTTCGAATTAGACAAAATTTTTTGTCAAACGTTTGTGCAGCAAAAATTTTCATTTGTGCCGCTATCATTAAAATTTAAAATGTTTAAAATTATATAATCAAAGGTTAGCAACTTATAATTTATATAAATTCAGAGTTTCAGAATGAACAAATGTTCACTGACCTTTGATGGCTTCTACAAACAATTATTAATATCATTAAAATGATAGCACTACAAAAAAATGTATATATTTTAAATTATGCATTTGTAAATTTTTTATAT